AGAGACTTCGAGGACTCCTGTGAAAGTCTAAAAGGAGCGTGTGTTCGCTGTGCGTGGAGCTGCGCTGCCTTCCACACCGGCACACAGCTGGACACCCTCGCAGCCCTGTCCCCTCCCAGGTTCCTACAGGCCCCTGTCTGAGAGCAGTTTGCAGATGTGTGAGCAGACGTGCTGCCCCACACAGCTGCAGGAGCCAGTGTGGCTTCTGCCCCCAGACATACCTGCATTCCGAGAGCCTTTCCGCTACTCTCTAGCCCTGGACCTCAAATAGTTGCATAAGCCTTTTTTGTCTCTTCCTTCCTTCCTTCCTTCTTCCTTCCTTCCTTCCTTCCTTCCTTCCTTCCTTCCTTTCTTGGTTTTTTGCTTTTTGGTTGTAGGGCTTGAACTCAGGCCTAGATGCTGTCCTAAGCCTCTCTGTGCTCAAGGCTAGCGCTCTACCACTTGAGCCATAGCACCACTTTTGGTTTTTGAGTAGTTAATTGGAGATAAGAGTCTCATGGGTACTTCTCTACCCAGGTTGGCTTCAAACCACAATCTCCAGATCTCAGCCTCATGAGTAGCTAGGATTACAGGCGAGAGCCACCAGCACCTGCTACATGAGCCTTTTGAGCCTCAGTTCTTCATCTGCTCAGTGGGTCTGTTAACACTGACCTTCTTCATTCTCCCAGCCAGTCACCATAGTTTGAGTTCGGTGTCAATCTATCCTCCAAGAGCTTAATGTTTGGAGGGAGAGGAGACATGTTACTTCATGTTGAGAACAGGAAATAAGACTATATATGAACAGCTACAGTGGCACATGCCTGTAGTCTCAGCTGCTTAGAAAGAAGATAACTGTTTGAGGCTAGCCTGGGCAAACAGCAAAACTCTGTTTCAGTAAATAAGCTAGGTGGAAGGCATAGGTCAGAAGATCTTGGAAAACATAAGATCCTATCTGAAAAATAACCTACTGCAGAAGGGCTAGGATGTGACTTAAATGGTAGAGCACTAGCTTAGCAAGTACAAGGCCCTGAGTTCAAATCCCAATAGTGCAAACAAAGAAGGAAAAAGGATTATCTGACCAGTAGGTGTATGATGGTCATTCAACAGAACGAATGAGACTATACTTAATGACACTGATGTATGTAAAAGGCCTTGAGTTTATGTGCCCTAGAATGTGGTCTGAGGAAGAGGAAGGCACTCTTTATCTCCAGTTAACCACCAAAACAAAAAACAAAAAACCTTGAAAATAGAGCTGTGGTTCAAGTCGTAGAGAACTAGCCTTGAGTGAAAAAAGACTCAAAAACAGTGCCCAGGCCCAGAGTTCAAGCACCAGGACAGGACCGGCGCACAGGCACACACAGAGACCCTGAGCTGGGGTATAGCTCGGTGACAGTGCTAGCCTAGCACGCCCAAGGTTCTGGGCTCCACCCGGCAGGGAAGGCAGGGAGGCAGAGGCCTGGGCAGGGCTGAGGGAAGCTTTCTGGGGCAGCGTGCCATGGACTCTGGAAGGGGCAGTGAGTGAAAGACTGTCAGTCGCTTTTCCTTTTATATAAGCTATAAGTAGAGGAAGTGAACCTCTGGTTTTACCCTGAAGTAAGGGGTTTCTTCTTCTTTTTTTGGGGGGGGGGCGGTCAGTTGTGGGGCCTGAGCTCTGGGCCTGAGCACTGTCCCTCAGCTCAAGGCTAACGCTCTATCACTTGAGCCACAGTGCCACTTCTGGCTTTTTCTGCTTATGTGATGCTGAGGAATCGAACTCAGGGCCTCATGCATGCAAGGCCAGCACTCTACCACTGAGTCACCTTCCCAGCCCTGATTTGCATTTCTTTATGGCCAGGAATGATGAGCATTTCCTCATGTGTCCCATTACAAATTCCATTTCTCCTTCAAGACCTCCAAATTACACACCACTTCTTCCCTGAAGCCCCTCCCAACCAGAAGTGATTGCTTCCTTCATTGCCTTTTACACACACACACACACACACACACACACACACACACACACACACACACACACACACTCCGTAGTTATTCATGTGGCTTTCTCATTATCTACCAACACAGCTCCCTGAAGGCAGGGCCTTTTCTTTCCCACTTTAAACCTCTGATTAGACCTCGCCCTGATGTTACACATAGAATGTGGGGCATAAACACAAGGCCCCCAAAACACTAAGGGGTTGGTACGAGGCTGTGGACAGAATGAGGTTTTACTAGACTGATTTTCTGCTATGTATGGGGGACGGGGACGGGGATAAAGTGTAACAGTGGCCTTAGCAGGGCTGCCATCTGTCTCTTCCCTGAATATCTTGTGTTTTCTGCCAAAGTCATCAGACTGCACAGAGTGATGGGGCTTTCTCTCCTTTCGCATTTCTTCAGTGAGGGATGGAGAGGAGAAAGGATAAAGAGAGGGGGGAAAAAGTCTATCTTTAAAAAAATACATTTTTTTCTAACTCGGGTTCTGGATAACTCCTGAGTAACTACACAAATGAAATGATTAATTTTGCTACTCCTGAAAAAAAAAGTTTTTTTCTAATCCCAAAGTCATTTATTTTGGCTTTAGAGTAGACTAGCATTTGTGTCGGCTTTTCCTGCCTAATTACTTTTTGCTTAAGCTTATTTGTAAATTGTTTAAAATTCCTAGAGTCTGACAGTCTCCAGTCTGAGACCAATAGGATGGGGAAATAGAGAAAGGCTGTGGGTAGGAGCCGGACTCAGCCTTGGGCACCACGACTTGGCAGAATGGTTCCCAAAGTCTTAAAAATATGCTTACTCTTTGATCCAGTAATTCCACTCCTAGGAATGTGTCCCAAGGAAATTATGAAACAAGCTTGCAGAACGCTGGGGCAAAGGTATTCACAGCCTCTACATCAGCAAAAGCCAACTTAAAACACTGAAGAATGCGGACTTGATTAAGTAGAGGAGGCAGTTACCTCCACACGCTCGCTATCCAGCTGTGGGTGTCTTACATGGAAGAGAGCCTGGAAATGTGCACAATACCAAGTAACACTAGATTGGGGGCTGAGGGGGAACGGATGGAGGGAGGGATTTTATTTTGTGGTAAAACACATTGTGTAACTTTGGTATCACTGGATAATAAAGTTAGGACTATTTTGTCCTTCTTTGTATTTCTTAACTTTTCTGCTTATACATGTAGTGTTTCATTGGTAAAAATAGCTACCTTAAAAAAAAACCTATGGCCGGGCGCTGGTGGCTCACGCCTGTAATCCTAGCTACTCAGGAGGCTGAGATCTGAGGATCACAGTTCAAAGCCAGCCCGGGCAGGACAGACTGTGAGACTCCTATCTCCAATAAACCACCAGAAAACCAGAAGTGGCGCTGTAGCTCAAGTGGTAGAGCGCTCACCTTGAACTGAAGAGCTGAGGGACAGCGCCCAGGCCCAGAGTTCAAGCCCCACGACCGACAAAAAAAAAAAAAAAACCTATGATTTAAAAAAAAATTGTTTTTGTTTTTGTTGTAGTTGTTGGTCTTTGTCAGTACTGGGATTTGAACCCAGGGCTTTTCCCTTGCTGGAATCGTGACACATTAGTCGGGCTTATGTCTAGCAAGCCTAAGCCTCCCAGTTCAAGCCCCAGTGCCACCAAAAAAAATTATATTGCCCAAATAATGGAAACATTTTAAATCATCCCCTGTGAAGATTTGTACTTTTTACCTTTTCCTTAACCTTTCATTATCATCAGCTCAGAACTTCAAACCCAGATGCTGAGTGGGAAAGAGAGAACACATGATAAATAAGGAAGACCACCATAGGCCTCTGAGACCCCCAAGTACCTCAGCTCCCGGACTCAGGACCAACCCAGGGACATTCATTCTGCATTGTCTGAACTGTCAGCTCTTTGCCCTCGGCAGAGTTCTTTTTTATTTGAAGTTCCTGAATTCCTAGGGTAGCTCACCATGCCACTGGAAGAAGAGCTTACAGGCTTGCCTCTTGTTTTTTTAAAATTAATTCTCTGTGTTTTAAACCAATGTTTAAGCTTCATGGAATGAGGGGGGAAAAACAAATAAATAAAAACAAAAATAAAGAACAGATGCCCTGTCACTCACCCCTGTAATCCTAGCTACTCGATCTGAGGACTGTGGTTCAAAGCCAGTCAAGGCAGGAAAGTCTGTGAGACTTTAAATCTCCAAGTAAGTACCAAAAAAGCCAGAAGTAAAATTGTGGCTCAAGTGGTAGAGCTTGGTCAAAGAAGCCCAGGGACAATGTCCAGGCCCTAAGTTCAGGCCCCAGGACAAGCAAAAACAAAATAAAACAGCCTGGCACTGGTAGCTCACGCCTATGATCCTGAGTACTCAGGACCCTGAGATCTGAGATTTTTTTTTTTGGTTAGTCATGAGGCTTGAACGAGGGACCTGGGCCTGTTGCTGAGCTCTTTGCTCAAGGCTAGCACTCTATCACTTTGAGACCTAGGGCTACTTCCAGTTTTCTGGTGCCCAGCCTGGGCAAGAGAGACTTTTTTTTTTGCCAGTCCTGAAGCTTGCTTGAACTCAGGGCCGGAGACACTACCCTTGAGTTTCTTTTGTTCAAGCCTAGCACTCTACCACTTGAGCCACAGCACCACTTCTGGCCTTTTCTGTTTATGTGGTACTGAGGAATTGAACCCAGGGCTTCATGCATGCTAGGCAAGCACTCTACCACATATAGCACTGAACCACTAAGCCACATTCCCAGCCTTCCAAGAGACTCTGATCTCCAGTGAATCACCAGGAAACCAGAAGTGGAGCTGTGGCTCAAAGTGGTAACATGCTAGCCTTGAGCAAAAGAGCTCAGGGACATGAGTTAAAGCAAAAACAAAAGCAAATAAATGTCAACCTATTGACAGCAAATCAAATCCCCATTCTCCTGCTAGCTGTGACCTTGAGCACATCCTCTGTCTCCTGGCCTGTACAGAAAGTAGCTTTTCCTGCCTCACCTAACAAGGCTGGTCTTCCTTCAGCCATACAGCGGTGTTCTGAGAGGCACAGTGAGAGTCCTGGTGAACATTCTTCTCTCATTTTGTTTCTGGCAGTTTCCTTATGCTGCCCCACCTCCCCAAGAACCAGTGAAGATTCTGAGAAGCTTGATCAACATCCGAAAGGACACGCTACGGCTTGTCAAGTAAGTGCCCTAGGGCCTTTCCTAGCTGCCCTCCTTTTGGGACAGTGGACTTCTCATGAGCCTCTGCCTTAGGCCTTGATGCCAGCTGGTAGGTCACTGCTGGAGCCCTGTATCTGCACAAATGAGGCCTCTGAACTGGCTTGGGAGGGAAGGAAGGCCTTTCACTTGCCTAGAGCTGATAAATACTATTCCCGCTTTGAGGGAAAAGAGGAATTTTGTAGACACCCCTTTATATTATATACTTCATTATAATAATGAGCTGTTCGAATTTGAAATATAGGATCCTTATGTTACTATTTATTTATGCAGGCACTGGGCTTGAACTCGGCCTGGGTCACATGTCTACTTCTGGCTTTTTATTGTTGTTCTTGGTTGTAGGGCTTGAACTCAGGGCCTAGGCACTGTCCTTGAGTTCCTTTGCTCAAGGCTAGCACTCTATTGCTTTGAGCCGCAACTCAACTTCAAGGGTTTTTTTTGAGGGGTTAATTGGAGTCTCATGGGGACTTTTCTGTTCTGCTTGGGCTGGCTTTGAACCCTGATCCTCAGATCTCAGCTCCCTGAGTGGCTAGGATTATAGGCATGAGCTAATAGCGCCCAGCTCGTGTCTAGCTTTTTGCTAGTTAATTAGAGTTAAGAGTCTCACAGATTTGTCTGCCTGGGCTGGCTTTGAATCATTATCTTCAGTCTTTTTTTTTTTTGTCGGCCGTGGGGCTTGAACTCTGGGCCTGGGCACTGTCCCTCAGCTCTTCAGCTCAAGGTGAGCGCTCTACCACTTGAGCTACAGTGCCACTTCCGATTTTCTGGTGGTTTATTGGAGATAGGAGTCTTACGGTCTCTCCTGCCCGGGCTGGCTTTGAACTGTGATCCTCAGATCTCAGCCTCCTGAGTAGCTAGGATTACAGGCGTGAGCCACTAGCGCCCTGCTTCTTCAGTCTTGTAAGTAGCTAGAATTACAGATGTCAGCTACTGGTGCCCAGCTTTACTGCTTTTATATGTATATGTATATATATATATATATATATATATATATTAATTTTTTGGTTAGTCATGAGCCTGGCCCTGAGCTCTTTGCTCAAGGCTAACACTCTATCACTTTGAGACCTAGGGCTGCTTCCAGGTTTCTGGTGGTTAATTGGAGATAAAGAGTCTCGTGGCCTTTCCTACCTGGGCTGGCTTTGAACAACAGTCCTCAGATCTCAGCCTCCGAAGTAGCTAGGATTACAGGGATGAGCCACTGGTGCCTGGTCACACCTTGCTTCTTTGAGAAGAAGTACTGGGGTTTGAACTCGGGAGCTTGCACTTGCTAGGTGTAGTCACTCTACTCCTTGAGCCATGCCCCAGCCCTGAGAAGCTAGGAGGTGCAGGGATCATGAGTGCCTATGGGATGGAGGCAAAGGGAGGCTCAGAATGAGTGTGAGAGAGTCTAGGGTAGTTGCTGTGCCCACATTCAGACAAGAGCCAAGAGGACCGACCCCAGAAAGGACCCCAAGATGCTGAGCTGACAAGGCATGATGGCTCACAGCTACAATCTCAGGACTTGGGAGGCAGATTGGAAGATAGAGGGTTAGAGACCAGCCTGGTCTATGCAGTGAGAACCTATGCCAAAAAAAGAAGAAAACCAGCCACTGGTGACCCATGTTAGTAATCCTAGCTACTCAGGAAGCTGAGATCTGAGGATTTTGGTTCAAAGCCAGCTTGGGCAGGAAAGTCAATGAGACTCCTAGCTCCAGTTTACCAGTAGAAAACCAAAAGTGGAGATGTGGTTCAAAGTGTTAGAGCATTAGCTTTGAGCAAAAAAAAAAAAAAAATCTCAGGGGCCTGCAGAGAGTTTGGGTTGGAATGGGGGTGGTGGTAGAAGACCAGCAACTGAAAGGGACATGATGAGCACCAAGTTCAGGACAGTATCAGGTGACTCTGGCTAACCTGAAGGAAGTGCAGCCGCTGAAGTGATTGCTGGTTTATTGCGAGAGCCCTATATTGTGGGGATGGGGATGGCGGAGCTCCTCCATGGCACACATGAAGGCAGAGACCAAGACCTCATTTCCACATGAGGCAGCCAATAGATAATGCCGAAAACTGAAAATCAAGAATCAGAGAACCTGGCATGCTGTTTAGAAACGTGGTTAAATGCGAAATGCTCAGCCAGAACAGATCTCCTCTGAAGAGGTCGAAAGGGAAGGAAGAGGCCTGCTGTTTTGTTTTTTGTTGTGTGTGTGTGTTTTTTTTTAACAAGTCTGTTGGAAACTATTTAAACTATGTGACTAATAACCTTGATTAAATAAAAAAATTAATCCAGGCTGGATGCAGTGTTCTTGCCTATAATCCCAGCCATATCAGGAGATGGAAATCAGGAGGATCACAATTTGAGGCCAGCCTGGACAAAGAAGAAAAAAAAAAAAAGCAAGATTCCATCTCAACCAAGAAGCTGGGTAGTGGTAGGAGTATGTCTATAAACCAAGCTATTTGCTAAAACATAGATAGAAGGGTCACAATCTGAGATTAACCTCAGGCAAAATGAACTCTTTGTGAAAAAGAGTTGAAGATATGGCTCAAAGGGACCTAAGCAAGCATAAAGCCCCAAATTCAAACCCTAGTACTTAAAAAATAATCTAGCATAGATGTAACTAATAACATAATAACACTTGAACTCAGAGGCTGGGTGCTGTCCCTGAGCTCTTTTGCTCAAGGCTAGTGTTCCACCACTTTGAGCCACAGCTGCACTTCTGGTTTTTTAAGTGGTTAATTGGACATAAGAAGTCTCACTGGGACTTTTCTGCCCTGGCTGGCTTTGAACTACCATCCTGAGATCTTAACCTCCTGAGTAGCTAGGTTTACAGACATGAGTCACCAGCAACTGTCCCTGTGATCTTTCATAATAACGATGTACATTTATGTTAATGACCACAGAGAGAACCCCACGTGGTGTTTTAAAAAACAAGGTAAGTCTTAGTTCTGGTGTGCTGCCCCAGAATGCTGAGTCTTTTCTGGTTTTCTAGATGCGCTGAGGAAATCAAAAGCCCGGAAGAAGAGACTGGTAAAGCTAAGGTCCACTACAACGTCGAGTTTACCTTTGACACGGATGCTCGGGTGGCCATCACCATCTACTATCAAGCCACTGAGGAGTTCCAAAATGGTATCGCCAGGTAAGAACAGAGACTGTACTTCCTTCCCAGATAGGAGGGGCCAGGCCGAGCTACTTACCCTTTGAGGGAAACTTTTTTTTTCTTTTTTTCTGTTGTTCATGGGGCTTGAACTCTGGGCCTGGGCACTGTCCCTGAGCTCTGTCCCTGAGCTCTTCAGCTCAAAGCTAGTGCTCTACCACTTGAGCCACGACAGCACCACTTCCAGTTTCCTGGTGGTCAATTGGAGATAAAAATCTCACAGACTTTCCTGCCCCTGCTGGCTTTGAACCATGATCCTCAGATCTCAGCCTCCTGAGTAGTAGGATTATAGGCGTGAGCCACCGGCCCCCAGCTTGGGAAACGTTTTTCTAATCAAGTGAGATCTCATTCTTGAATGTATACTTTCTTTTCCAAAAACATGTTAACTTTTTTGCTTTCATTTGTGTCTTTGGTGGACAGTGACCTTAGATGCTGTTAAAAACCCATTTAGCAGTTGGTTACCCATGGCTTACACCTATAACCCTAGTTACTTGGGAGGCTGAGAATGGGAAGATTGTGGTTCAAGGCCAGCTTAGGCAGGAAAGTATGAGAGAGCCCTCAACAGGTAGCTGGGCATGGTGGTACATGCCTATCCTAAATTCTGTGGGAGACTGAGATTGGGTGGAACCTGGTTCCAGACTATCCTAGGCAGAAAAGAGTTCACAAGACCCCATTTCCACGGGCCTGATGTTATATGCCTGTCATCTCAGCTTTGACTGGGAGCCTAAAACTGGCAGATTATCATAGTCCAGGCATACACTGGGCAGGACTCAAGATCCTCTTGAAAGTAGCTAGCACAAGCCAGGCACTGGTGGCTTATGCCTATAATCGTAGCTACTCAAGAGGTTGAGATCTGAGGGTCATGGTTCAAAGCCGACCTTGGCAGGAAAATCCCGAGACTCATATCTCCAATTAACTACCAGAAAACCAGAAGTGGCACTGTGGCTCAAGTTGTAGAGCACTTGCCTTGAGCTGAAGAGCTCAGGCTCAGCACCCAGACCCAGAGATTAAGTCCTCCCACCGCCCCCCACCATCCCCAAAAATAGCCCTCACAAAAAAGGGCTGGAGGGTCTGGGAAGGTGGCTCAGTGCTTGCCTTGCATGCATGAGGCCCTGGGTTTGATTCCTCAGCACCACATAAGCAGAAAAAAGCCTTAAATGGTGCTGTGGCTTAAGTGATAGAGCGCTAGCCTTGAGCTGAAGAGCTGAGTGACAGTGCCCAGGCCCAGAGTTCAAGCCCTATGACTGACCAAAAACAAAGGGCTGGAGTCATGGCTCAGCAGTTGAGTGCAGCAAGCACAAGTCATGACATCAAACTCCAATACCTTAAAACAAAAAGGAAAACAACAACAACAAAACTACTTAGCTACCTGTCTGTAGGCCTTTTATTTTTATTTTTTCCTGTGCTTGAGCCTGTTGGAATTGAGAAACAGACATGAGATTGAAGGGACTGTCAGACTGTCTGGTCTAGATTCTAACTTTAGTTCTGCTTCCCACTTGATGTACAGCTACATTCCAAAAGACAACAGCCTGCAATCAGAGACTGTGCACTACAAGCGAGGGGTGTGCCAGCAGTTCTGCCTGCCCTCTCACACCGTGGACCCCTCGGAGTGGGCCGAAGAGGAGGTGAGTGGCCTTTGCTGGAGATGGCCAGCACCCAGGAGCTTCCTGGGACCCAGGCCAGCAGCAGAGGCTCTGCCTGGACACTTAGGACCATGTTCACCTTTATACCCAGTGACTTCTTCATTCCCCTAAAGGAAATACCTGTCCTTGTTCCTCCCATGCTGATGTAGCCTCATTACCTAGGCCTCTCTGAGAAGAGGAACTGAAGGTTAGAGGCTTTAACTGGGAGCCTTCAGTTCAACAGTCTTGGGGAGGTTGATGGATAAGCCACAATAGATGGGGGTAACATCTCCTGCCAGTGCCTTCACTTTTGGTGGGTGTTTCAGCCATCTACATGTGTTGTGTCCTGTTTTGTTCTCTTCCCCCCTGCAGCTCAGCTTTGATCTGGACCGAGAGGTTTACCCTCTGGTGGTGCACGCTGTGGTGGATGAAGGCGACGGTAGGGGCGTCTCCGTCTTCCTTTGGGTGTATGCTGCCCTGATGGGGCACAGTCCTGCAGAAGCTGTGGCCAGAATAACACACCTTCTCTGGAAGGTCTTAGCCCTTCCTATCTGAGTCTAACTCCTTGGGCTACAACGGGGAAGTGCTGGGCCTACAACAGGCCCCAGCTGGAGATAGCCCAGCACCATGGCTTTGTGTGGGGAGGGGGAATATGCCAGTACTGGGGCTTGAACTCAGGTCCTCTCACTGTTCCTTAGCTTTATCATTCAGTTCTGGTGCCCTGCCACTTGAGCCACAGCTCCATTTCCTGTACCGTGGCTCTACAGACCGTGGGAAGTGGAAGGTGGGCATCAGAGGTACAGTTGACCTTCTTTACCTGTGTGCCTGTTTCTTTCAGAATATTTCGGCCATTGCCATGTATTGCTGGGTACGTTTGAAAAGGTAAATTATCACTTCAACATACATTTAAGGTTTTCTTTTTTTAATTTTGTAAAATTATCTTCCAGTAGTTATGCAAAGGAGTTGCCATTTCACAAAGCAGTTAGTGGATGCCGTGTATTTTGGTCCATGTCACCTTTCAACATTCTCACCCATTTACATTTAACACTTTCTTTTTGTTTGTTTGTTTGTTTGTTTGTTTGTCAGTTGTGGGGCTTGATACTCAGGTACTGTCCCTAAGCTCTTGTTTTATTTTTTTTTTTCTGGTCCTTGGGCTTGAACTCTGGGCCTGGGCACTGTCCCTGAGCCTCTTTGTGCTCATAGCTAGCACTATACCAGTTGAGCCACAGCACTACTTCTGGCTTTTTCCGAATAGTTTACTGGAGATAAGAAAATCTCGTGGGGGCTGGGAAGGTGGCTCAGTGGTAGAGCGCATGCCTTGCATGCAGGAGGCCCTAGGTTCGATTCCTCAGCACCACATATGCAGGAAAAAAAACCCAGAAGTGGTACTGTGGCTCAAGTGGTAAAGTGCTAGCCTTGAGCTGAAGAGATGAGAGACAGTGCCCAGGCCCAGAGTTCAGGCCCCACGACTGGACCCCCCCAATAAAAAGAAAATCTCGTGGACTTTTCTGCTTGGGCTGGCTTCAAACTGTGATCCTCAGATCTTAGCCTCCTGAGTAGCTAGGATTACAGGTGTGAACCACCAGCGCCTGGTCAATATTTAACACTTTGTTTCCTAAGAGGTTAACCTTGTTTTCTGGCTCATCTGATTTCAGAATAGTTGGGCTTGGGGAGGTATTAAACAGGTGTTAGAAAGCAGCTGGCTCTGACAAGTTTTCAATGCTGCATGACCTTTGACCCCTCAAGCCTCAGCCTCATCCTAAAATTACCAGTTAGAGGTGATCACTGCAAGACCTTCATAGTCATTAGATTTTGCAATTCCATTTTGTGTAGGCCCAAGAACACGTAACGCTATAGAACAACAACAGGTGTGAGGTGCGGTGAGCTTTCTGCTTTGGTTGTAACCATCGTATTTTCATTCCAGCACACAGATGGGACTTTCTGTGTCAAGCCCCTCAAACAGAAGCAGGTGGTAAGTATCTGAGGGCCAGGGGCTACTGGATCTCTCTCTCTCTCTAACTCTTTTGCTAAATATTCTTTTTCCCTCTCTTCTTTCTTTTGTGTAATCAAGGGAAAAAAGAAAAAAGGAGCACTTTTGTGTGCTAGAAACCACTTGGGTGGCCTGGAAGGAACACTGACTGTGGGTCTCTAAGGCTGGGAAATTGCTAGTGCTGAGGCCTCTCTATCTGCACAAGGACTCGAGAAATGAAAGGACGAGATTTATCTCTTGGCATTAGACTGGGAGACTTTCTTTATTTCAAATGTCAGGGTGAGAAACACTTCAAGCAAAAGGTCTAAAGTATCGGGGTGCAATTCAGAGGCTATTAGCGCCCTTGGCTTCATTTATTCCCCCATTCCTTTCCCACAATTCGGTTTGCAGACCTTTGGCCCTTCCAGCACAACAAGCAAGGTCCGAATATGTCAGCTAGAAGGCTGAGCCCACACCATGTGTCACACTTTGCTTTGGTGGGAGGATCCTCCGTGGAGGGTGAGGGGCGGTGCTGCCCTGGCACTGGTTATAGCCTGGTGGAGAGGTGAATCATCACAGTCACCACGAGGAGGATGGGAGCAGGTGGGAAGGGCAGGCTGACACAAGAGAGACACAAGAGAGGCCTTGCTTCAGATGAGTGACAGGCGTCCGATTCTACATCAGTACATTCTTCTGTTTTAGGTACTTGCCCCTCAGTTAATGAGGCCAATAGTAGCCAGTAATACTTTTGTATAAATTAGTTGATAAGGTCACATCCTTTTCCGTATAGTTATTATGTTGAAACAAATTTTAGAACAAAGCAGGGAGGCTAGGTACCAGATGGCTCATACCTATTACTAGCTATACAGGAGGCTGAGATCTGAGGATTGCAGTTTAAAGCTAGCCTGGGTGGAGTAGTGCATAAGGCGCTTCAATCAACTAGCAAAAAAGTCACAGCAGAGCTGTGGCTCAAGTGGTAGAATGCCAGCCTTGAGTGAAAAAAACCAGACACACACACACACACACACACACAGACACACACACACACCACACCACACACACACACAGCTTCAGAGAGACCATAGCTCCTGAGCCCAGGGTGCTGTCTAGGCAGTCCAGCCTTGAGTACTTACCGGGAAGGCTTAGTTGGCCAAGAGGGAAGCATAGCTTGAAGGAAATAGTCTATTTTCCTCTTGTTGGATTTGCATTAGTAATAAACCATCCCACTGGAGAGGAAGCTGTCAACTCCGAGATAATGGAGTATCTGAAAACAGAGATGAGGAAATAGGAGAAGTAGACTTCTGGAGGGAAATAAAGGGAGAGCCAGCTTTGGCACCAACATGACCTTAGGATCTGACGTTGACAGCTGAAGTTTCAAAAGCCAAGTTGTGTGGTGCTATTAGATAGTCCCTGCTACTCAGAAGTCTGAGACCAGCATAGGCAACATGTCTCCAAAAAACCAAGCTGGGCATGGTATACAGACTCGTAAGTACTCAGGAGGTAGATAGAGGGCAGAGTTTGGGAAGTTGAAGCTAGCCTGGGCTACACAGTGAGATCCTGTCTCAAAACAAGAACCAAGAAAAGGGCTGGGAAGGTGGCTCAGTGGGAGAGTGCTTACCTCGCATGCATGAGGTCCTGGGTTCGATTCCTCAGCATCACATATCCTCAGCATCACATAAGCAGAAAAAGCTGAAAGTGGCACTGTGGCTCCAGTGGTAGAGTGCTGGCCTTGAGCTGAGGGACAGCGCCCAGGTCCAGAGTTCAGGCCCCACAACCAACCAAAAAAAAAAAAGACAGACAGAAAGAAAGAAAGGACAAAGAAAAACAAAAACAAAAAAAGTAACCAGGCCAAGAGTTAGACATGTTAGACAAAGGATGTTCCACTTGGATTCCTTGGCCATCTATGTTTTTCTCTCTGCCTCTTTCTCCCTGCACATTTCTTCTTCTTTCACTTTTCTATACTTTTGTCCTTATTATGTCTGAAGTGAAATTTTCTTACATAGTGTTACTTTTTTTTCCCCGTTGGTTGTGGGGCTTGAACTCCGCCTGGGGTCTGTTCCTGAGCTTTTTCACTCAAGGCTAGCACTCTGCAACTTTGAGCCACAGCACACTTCTGGCTTTCTAGTTGTTAATTGGAGATAAGAGTCTTGTGGAAACCGGGAGCTGGTGGCTCACACCTGTAATCCTAGCTACTCAAGAGGCTGAGATCTGAGGATCATGGTTCAAAGCCAGCCCAGGCAGGAAAGTCCATGAGACTCTTATTTCCGATAAACCACTAGAAAACCAGAAGTGGCACTGTGGCTCAAGCGGTAGAATGCTTGCCTTGAACTGGAGTGCAGGGACAGCGCCCAAGCCCAGAGTTCAAGCCCTACTACCGACCACCCCCCCCCTCCAAAAAAAAAGAGTCTCATGGACTTTCCTGCCCAGGATGGCTTCAAACCATGATCCTCAGATCTCAGCCTCCTGAGATTGCAGGCGTGAGCCACTAGCACCAGCTGTATTTATTTCCCTTTTATACATACTCTTCTGTCCTCTTTCTGATCTATGCCTTTCCTAACCATTCATAAAAGGGAGCCACCGTTCAGTGGGTAAATTAAGATGTGATTCTTCACTGTGAACCCATCATCCTGAGCTCAGCAGCGGCTGGTGGGGGCTCTTCTACTGTCTCCTTCAGCTTCTCTGTTGGCCCTTCAGGTAGATGGGGTCAGCTACCTCCTTCAGGAGATCTACGGAATAGAAAACAAGTACAACACACAGGATTCTAAGGCAAGTTTGGTTCAAAGTTTTGTCGTATACTCTGTGGGGCTAGGGCTGAGGAGCCTGGGGAGCCAGGTCTAGAGCTGTTGGAAAGCATTCAGCTCATCTGTCTGTGGAAATGAAGTAGGCTACCCAGGACTTGTTCTTCTGCACTAGGCTCTGTTGAACTCCATTTGCCAGGAGGAAATGGAGTTCACTCCCCATTTGCCCTGATCTGTGTGGGCTACTAGGTTCCTTCAGCTCAGATGACCAGGGGAATGCCAGAGTTGGGCCTCTGAGGCTGAACTCAGAGCTGCCCTCCCCTCCAAGCTCCCTAACCCCTACCTCTGTCCTGCAGATGAGCTGTTCTCAGAGGCAGCGAGACTGTGCACCATAAAGCACTGGCCTAGGTTTTGTTCCTAGTCCTTGTCTCTGCTCTTCAACTAGCTGCTTTGTAAATAAAGCACAGGACACCAAGCCTTTATGTCATTGCCTATATTACTGTCTCCCCAGCAGGTGGCCGAGGATGAAGTGAGCGACAACAGTGCCGAGTGTGTGGTGTGTCTCTCGGATGTCCGGGACACCTTGATCCTGCCCTGCCGCCACCTCTGCTTGTGTAACACCTGTGCGGACACCCTGCGCTACCAGGCCAACAACTGCCCCATCTGCCGGCTCCGTAAGCCCTAGGTGGTGGAGGGAAGGCAGGGGACCCAAGAATGGCATTACCCTGCTTGCCATAGGGAGGGACCAAGGCTCACCTTAATCCTGTAGCAGGATGTCCTGATTGCCTGTTTTCTTCTTCACAGCCTTCCGGGCACTGCTTCAGATCCGAGCCATGAGGAAAAAACTGGGCCCCTTGTCCCCAACCAGCTTTAATCCCATCATCTCCTCTCAGACATCTGACTCTGAGGAACACTCGGTGAGTTGGGCACAGAACCATGGGATTCGAGCGCTAAGGCTTTCATGGAGTTTTTCTTTTTAAAGCTTTTACCTTTTGTCCCTTTTTTTTTTTTGTCTTTAGACAGGGTCTCACCATGTAGCCCAAGCTGGCCTCACACTTGCTGGCTTTGACCTTCTTTACCCGGCTTTACAGCATGAAATTGAACCTGGCCAGGCTGATTGATTTGCTAGACTAAGCTCATGGTCTAGTAATATTACTCAGGCATCCTGTCCAATGAATACTTACATTCCTAAAAACAATTTGCTGTGGTTCACTACAGTGGGGCCCACCTCTAGAGCTCCCCAAGCAGAAACAGGGATGATTGCATTTTTGTTTTTGTTTTGGGGGTTTTTTGGTGGTCATGGGGCTTGAACTCTGGGCCTGAATACTGTTCCTCAGCTTTTCAGCTCAAGGCAAGCACTCTACCACTTGAGTCACAACACCACTTCTGGTTTTCTGGTGGTTAATTGGAGATAAGAATCTCACGGACTTTCCTTCCGAAGCTGGCTTTGAACCCAGATCCTCAGATTGCAGCCTCCTGAGTAGCTAGGATGACTGGCGTGAGCCACTGGCACCCAGTGGATGATTGTTTTTATTTGAATAAAATTGTACTATCTTTATTTGAATCCTTGAGGAAGTTGACTTTTTTTGTTACTATTTTGGGTTTATTTTATTTTCATTATCTATGTTGTATAAAAGGGTTTCAATTCAACCCATCAGGAAGATAACTTTTTCTCTGTCCCATTTCATGGTTTCGCTGACTGGGAGTCAAGTGGACAGTAACTGACCCCATGCAACCATATAAGAACAATGCTGGGATCAAGTGGCTCACAGCTGTAGGACAGCGGCTGTGGGCTGGGATAAACTCAGGTAGAGTGCTGACCCTGGTATGCCTGAGGTCCTTGGTTCCATCCCCAGCACTGGAAAAAGAAGACATCATGTTTTTTTCTTACATCAACCCACTGATGGGAGAGATTTACTGTGCAGTGAATGGTATCGGTATAATTCGTTTACTGTTCAGAGAGGAAAAATCAGTGTAGCACTTTAATTCTTATCAGATAACAAATTGCAGATAATTGCTAGCTTTGTTAAAAGTGCAAATGGTACATTAAAAATCTTAAATAAATTATACATGACTATTTGGATAGAGAAAGATTCCTTTAAGTTCTCAGCAATAGAAAAGTACAAAGAAAAAAAAATCGAAATCTACTCAAAACTTCAGAGTTAAGCCAGGCGCTAGTGACTCACATGTGTAATCCTAGCTACCTAGGAGGCTGAGATCTGAGCATCATGATTCAAAGTCAGCCTGGGCAGGAAAAGTCCATGAGACTCTTATCTCCAATAAACCACTCAGAAAAACAGAAGTGGCACTGTGGCTCAAGTGGTAGAGCGCTAGCCTTGAGCTAAAGAGCTGAGGGACAGCACCCAGGCCCAGAGTTAAAGCCCCGAAACCAACCCCCCCAAAAAAAAGTCAAAATTAAAAACAAATTAAACTATTGGCAGCTTTTATATCAGAAGAAAGCCTAATAAAGCAGTAGATAAGTTAGCAAAAGAATATTAACAAAAATTATGATCTCTGGACACTCATGGCTCCTACCTGTAGCTCTAGCTACAGAAGCTGAAATCTAAGGATCACAATTTGAAGCCAACCCATCTGGAAAGTCAGTGAGACTCTTATCTTCAATTAACCACTGAAAAGCCAGAAGTAGAGCTGTAATAGCTCAAGTGGTAGAGCACCAACCTTGGGCAAAAAAGCTCAGGGAAAGTACCCAGACCCTGAGTTCAAGCCCCAGGACTGGTACCAAACGAAAAAAGAAGGAAAGAAAATCTGAAGAAGGTATTTTTGTTTTGTTTACAGTTCTAGGGGTTGAATTCGGGGCTTATATACATTCTGGCCAGTGAGCTTCACATCCAGCTAGGAAAGAGCTTCATAAACATACATAAGGAGGTTCATGGGAGCCACAGGAGGACATGTCTGCATAGCTCCATACCAGCACTGGTAGAGTAGTTAGGAAACTCACAGTTGTCTATAAAAAAGGTTTCAGAAAGGTAAGCAAATATTGATGTTGTGTGGAATAAGATATAGAATTGTTTCTTCCTTTCTTTTCTTCTTTTTATTGTTTGTTCTAGTACTGGGACTTGAACTAAGGTCCTGGGCACTGGCCCTTAATAGCTTCCCCACTCCCCCCCCCCCCCCCCCCCCCGTTCAAGGCTGGTGCTGTACCACTTGAGGCCCAGCTCCACTTGTGGTTTTTTGCTAGTTAATTGGAGAGCTGTCTCATAGACTTATCTGTCTAAACTGACTTTGAACCTCAATCCTGAGATCTCAGCCTCCTGAGTCGGTAGGATGAAAAGCATGAGTCACAGGTGCCTAACTAGAATTGTTGTTGTTTTTTAGTTGATTGACTTTTTGTTATTATAGAGGTGATGTACAGAGGGATTACATTTACATGAGTCAGGTAATAAGTACATCTTCTTTCATACGTATCTTCTATTCCCTCATTCTCTCCCAGCCCCTCCCCCGCATCTCCACGCATGAATTGTATAGTTCACTTTTATCCATGTCCAGTGAGCTCCACGGCTGCACTTTTTACTCTTCTTCCTTCAAGTCCTGTACGCTCCCCACAACCCTGCCAGAGCTGTACTCTGAATGCACTGCACATAGGTAAAGAAGACAGAAGCATCAAAAAATAAAAACTAAAGGAAAAAGAAAGAAAGGGAAAGGGGGAAAAAGTCTCTTGTTTCCGTATCATAGAGTTCATTTCAGTATGTGTATTATTTTATAGAATTATGAAGAGTCACTTAGGCATTGTGCCTTGTGTTTCTTTCCTAAGAATATCCTCTTTTGGTCTCACTCTCTGTGAGTTTCTAGAATCCTGTATAATTTATCATATTCCAGTGCATTTTAGATCTAACTTCCACATACCAGAACACGCACCCTTGGTCTCTCTGAGCTTGGCTTAACTCCTTAACATGATGTGTTCTAGTTCCTTCAGTTTCCCTGCAAATGATATTTATTATTATATATCTGTATTTATTCTATTTTATTCTTTTTCTTTTCTTTCTTTCTTTTTTTTTTTTTGTCAGTCATGGGGACTGAACTGCGCTGGGGCGCTGTCCCTGAGCTCTTCAGCTCAAGGCTAGCGCTCTACCACTTGAGCCACAGCGCCACTTCCAGCTTTTTCTGCTTATGTGGTGCTGAGGAATTGAACCCAGGGCCTCATGCATGCAAAGCAAGCACTCTACCACTGAGCCACCTTCCCAGCCCCCTATTCTATTTTATTCTTTCCAGTTTTTGGATTCCCTCATCTATTGTAGGGAATCTGGGCTGTTTCTATATCTTGGCTAATGTAAATAAACATGGATATATGAGTGTCCTTATATCCTGGCTCTTGATGTTCAGGGTAGATGCCCAGGAACGTATGGCTGGGTCGTAGGAAAGGTCTGTGTTTGGTAGGGGGGAGAGGGTGGTTTGTTTTTAATTTTTGTTGGTCGTGAGGCTTGAATACTGGGCCTGGGCACTGTCTCTTTGCTCTTTAGCTCAAGGCTACTGCTCTACCACTTGATCTACAGTGCCACTTCCATTTTTTTCTGCTTATGTGATGCTGAGGAATTGAACCCAGGACTTCATGCATGCTAGGCAAGCACTCTCCCACTAAGCCACCTTCCCAGTCCGATTTTTTTGGTGCCAGTACCAAGCTATTTTTGTTATGATGGCTCTGTAATAAAGTTTGAGGTCTTTGATACCACTTGTATTGCTTTTTGGGTTTTTTTGTCCATCACGGTTCTTGAACTCTGGGCCTGGGCACTTTCCCTGCGCTCTTCAGCTCAAGGTGAGTGCTCTACTGCTTGAGCCACAGCACTACTTCCGGTTTTCTAGTGGTTTATTGGAAATAGTCTCACCGAGTTTTCTGCCCGGGCTGGCTTTGAACCGTGATCCTCAGATCTCAGCCTCCTGAGTAGCTAGGATTACAGGCTTGAGCCACCAATACCTAGCGTTTCTGTATCTATTGAAAGATGATCTGTGGTTATTGTTTTTGGCTCTGTTGATGTAGTGAATTACATTTATTGATTTGTGTTTGTGTTAAACCAGCCTTGCTTTTTTTTTACAGATTGAGCATTAATGTGTAAATAGTACAAAGAAAATAGTTGGAAGAAATTGTACTAGAATGCTAACAAAAGTTACTTTGGTCTAAGCACCGGTGGCTTATGCGGACAATCCTAGCTACTTAGGAGGCTATGATCTGGAGGATCATGGTTTGAAGCCATCCTGGGCAGGAAAGTCTGTGAGACTCTTATCTCCAATTAACCACAAAAAGTGGGAAGTGGAACCTTAGCTCAAGTGGTAAAGCATCAGCCTTGAGCACAATAGCTCAAGCCCCAGCACCAAAAAAATAAAAAATAAAAAGTTTCTTTGGATAACTCATTATTGGAATTTTTTCCTTCTATTTTGATGTTTTCCAAATGTCCTTAGTGGTTATTTATGTCTATTATTATAAGAAAAAGTAACTATTGTGAAGAATGAGCTAGGAGCCTGGTTCTTTGACTTTTTATGATTCCTTTACATCTGACACAGAAACTTTTCTTACCAGATGTGAAGAAAACCCAGCAGATGTAAAGAAAACAAATTTTAGCGTATAGTAAGAAACATGAAACCAGGAACTGGTCGCTCATGCCCATAATCCTAGCTGCTCAGGAGGCTGAGATCTGAGGGCCATAGTTCGAAGCCAGCCCGGGCAGAAAAGTCCATGAGACTCTTATCTCCAATTAACTGCCAGAAAACCGGAAGTGGAGCTGTGGCTCAAAGTGGTACAGTGCTAGCCTTGAACAGAAAAGCTCCAGGACAGCGCCCAGACTGAGTTCAAGTCCTACAACCCACAGAAAAGAAAAAAATAAAAGAAACATGATGGTGCCCCCCAAAACAATAAGCACTTAAGTAATTTTTCAACTTGTCTCTGGTTCCCTAGTCCTCAGAGAACATTCCACCAGGTTATGAAGTGGTGTCTCTTCTGGAAGCCCTCAACGGGCCTCTCACCCCGTCCCCAGCGGTTCCTCCACTTCATGTGCTTGGAGACGGCCACCTCTCAGGAATGCTGCCTTCGTACGGCAGTGACAGCCACCTGCCCCCCGTCAGGACACTGTCCCCCCTTGACCGCCTGTCTGACCGCAGCAGCCAAGGACTCAAGCTCAAAAAGAGTCTCTCCAAGTGAGTAGGCAGCACGTGTGCCTCTCTGGGCCATGTTCCAAACCGTCCTGTCCCTTCTCCGCATGCTGTCATATCCTGGGCCCAGAGCTACCTCACCACACCCCTGAGGGGTCCCCTCGGGGAAAGGTCATCCATCCCTAGGAGATGAAACAAATTGTCTGGAGAATTCCCCTTAGATGAACCTGCCACTTGCTCATTTGAGAGGGAGCCAGGGGCACAGGGCAGAAGACATTGAACCAATGAGGGGACAGGACCACTCAGGCCCCTGGGGAGCGTGGCTTACTCTGAAGACGGAAAGATCTAGCTGGAAGCATGGCTCAGTAGAGAACATTCGCCTAGCAAGTGCAAGGCCCCGAGTTCAAACGCCAGTACCAGACTCCGAGACTGAAGGCACCTCATGACCCTAACTCCTAAACAGCTAAATCCAGTGGGGACATAATCACCACAGCGCCTACCACAGAGTAAAGGATGGCATTGCGCATGGAGGTATTGAGACCCTAGCAATGTCAGTCATTTTTTCCCTTAAGATCAGGCAGCATTTCCTTAAAGGAGCAAGAAGCAGAAGGGGTCTCTGTCTCCCCTGTCCCCGCTCTGCACACCTCCCCCCTCACCCTGGGGGCCTGGTGTTGGCTGGCTCCCCTGGTGTCATCTTCCCATGCCGTCTGCAGGAGAGGAGTGCGGGCCAGCTCCCAGCTCTGCGTGGACAGTGGGTGCAACTGCTTTTCCCTCTGGACTTTTACAGATCTGTTTCCCAGAATTCTTCCGTGCTTCACGAAGAGGAAGACGAGCACTCCTGCAGCGAGTCAGAGACCCAGCTATCTCAGAGACCCGAGGTTCAGCATCCCGGGGAGGTGACTGGTTCTCTTCTCCCTCCCTGGGTGCTGGTGCCAGGCACTGCCATGCCCTCCCCCCAGATCTTCATGTCCACCTATTTCATGTGTTTACTAAACCCTCAGCCCCTCCCAGGCGGTGGCCACAAAGTGTCATGAGAGTCACATGCTCCTCGGTGTACAGAGCCTGGTCACTCTGGCCTTGTCCTGCAAGCAGAGGTGGAAGCCATAGGAGAGCACCGAAGGCCCTGGCCTCCTGGTGCTTCCATCCTGCAACGGGGATGGAGCTTGACACAAGAGCGGGGTGAAAATGTGTGTGCCACATGTGTGTGTGTGTGTGCAACGGGAGACGGGAGTAGACCCTGGAGGCCCGAAGTAGCACTGCCACTTAACCAGTGGCCCAGGAGCAGGGAGCAGCAGAGCTGAGAGCTGAGAAGAGGGTTCTAGACGTAGGAAAGTAGAGGGCAAGCTACGGGGAGGCCGCTGGGGTGCAGTGGCAGAGGACAAACTTCCTGTGGGTCTCTACAGGCTTTCTTTAGCCACCTGCTCTCAGTGGCACTGAGCTAGGGGTGGTGGCACATTTGTAGACAAAGTAACTTAGCCCTCAAAACCAAGGTCTATCTGGGACAGCGCTGTGCTGGCATGGCGTCATTCCCGAGCAAGTGCTTGTCAAATGATGATACTTTTTTTTTTCTTCTTCTTCTTCTTTTTTTTTTTGTCAGTTGTGGGGTTTGAACTCTGGGCTTGGGTGAGCTCTTCAGCTCAAGGCAAGCACTCTACCACTTGAGCCACAGCACCACTTCTAGTTTTCTAGTGGTTTGTTGGAGATAAGAGTCTTATGAACTCTCCTGCCCAGGCTAGCTTTGAACAGATCTCAGTCTCCCAAAAAGCTAGGATTACAGGCGTGAGCCACCAGCGCCCAGCTTCTTTTTGTGCCAGTCTTAGGGTTTGAACTCTGTGCCTGGGTGCTGTCCCTGAGTTCTTCAGCTCAAGGCAAATGCTCTACCACTTGAGACACAGCACCACTTCTGGTTTTCTAGTGGTTAATTGGAGATAAGAGTCCCACTTTCCTGCTGGCTTTGAACCCCACAATCCTCAGATCTCAGCCTCCTGAGTAGGTAGGATTACGGGCGTGAGCCACCAGCACCCAGCTCTGAGCTGCTTTTTTGCTCAAGGCTACAACTCTTCCACTTGAGCCACAGTTTTATTTCTAGCTTTTTCCATAGCTTATTGGAGATAAAGTCTCACACACATACCTGCCCAGGCTGGCTTCAAACTGTGATCATCAGATCTCAGCCTCCCAAATAGCTAGATTACAGGCATGAACCACCAGCACCCAGCAAATTATGAATGAATCTTAACTATAGAAAGAGCCCTCAGCCAGTATAGTGATGTGTACCTGTAATCCCAGCACTGGGGAGACTGAGGCAGGAGAGAATCAAATTGTAGACCAGTCTGCAACAGTTATGGTGATGTGTCTCAAATAGAAAAATTGAGCCAGATTCTGGTGGCTCACACCTGTAATCCTAGCTACTCAGGTGGTTGAGATCTGAACATCTCAGTTCAAAGCTAGCCCAGGCAGTAAAGTCCATGAGACTCTTATCTGCAATTAATCACCAAAAAAGTGAGAAAGATGGAGCTGTGGCTCAAGTGGTAGAGCTCTAGCCTTGAGCAAAAAAACTCAGAGACAGTGCCCAGGCCCTGAGTTCAAATCCCAGAGCCATCCTCCCCCTCTACACACACATACACCCACCATGGGGAGGGGGAGAATCTAAACACAGACCATTAAAGTATAGTAGAAGAGATACACAAAATTTCATATCATTTTGTAGGGAAGATCAAAAGCAGCATTTGAGCTGAATCTTGGAACTCTTTAGACCTGAAAGAAAGGGGAAGAGAGGAAGTGGCGCTGTGAAGTGGTAGAATGCTTGCCTTGAGCTGAAGAGCTCAGGGACAGCCCCCAGGCCCTGAGTTCAAGCCCCACAACCAACCAAAAAGGAAAAAAGAGAAAGAAAGAAAGAAAGCTAGGGGAGAGAAGCAGCCAGGCAGGGCAGGAGCAGGCCAGGGTCCGGTGAGAATGCTGCTTCACCTGACAGATGCGCATGCGCTGACCTGGTCAGACAGGAGCTGGAGGAGCAGGAAAGTGGCTCCACAGGACTAGGCTTGAGCTGGCGAGGCTGTGTGCCGGCTGGCCGCCTGGCCGATGGGCTGGGGGAACAGGAGCAGAGGTGAGGTTTTTCCTTTCAGTTCAATGGGGCAGAAACTCACCAGACGTGCACATGCAGTGAGGCCCCTGCTGGCCTATTCTTTTCTTCCTGGGGAAGCAGGGGGTGTCCCCATGTCACAGCTGCTGGGTGACCTGTGTCACCCGAGCTGTAGTCTTTGTGTGGCCCAGCAGATGCTGCTGGCCCTCGGACAGGAGATGCTGACTGCCACTTCCACCTCCCCTGGGAGACATTCCCCAGGCCCAGGCTGGGGAGGTGCTGACAGGAGAGACGCCATGCTACCTCTTCTCCTGTCTGCGAGGAGCCCTTGTCCCTCCATGTCCCCTTTCCTCCCCAGCCCCTGTGCTCACCCCTTCCTCCCACAGGCTGAGGGTGTGCTTACTCTGTGTCCTGTTGTGTCCTCCATCCCCAGGAATGTGGTGTGACCCCAGAAAGCGAAAATCTCACCCTGTCTTCATCAGGGGCTATCGACCAGTCGTCTTGCACAGGGACTCCGCTCTCCTCCACCATTTCCTCCCCTGAAGGTACAGAGCGGGCAGGGAGGGGCTGCCCGTGCTCCCTCTGCTCTGTAGCCACCGCTGTCCTTCCTCCGGTGGGAGAAGCTAGCTGGGGAGGGAGACTCAGGCCTCAGCCCTGCGGCAGGACGGGTAACCCTGGTCCCTGAGCTGAGTTCAGAGCTCCAACTATAGAGGAGCAGGATCTTAGACTCTAAGGCCTGCATGCAAGGAAGGAGCTCTGCTCTGGTCAGCTTGACCAGGCTTCCTTCCTCTTCCTCCTCCACAGACCCCGCCAGCAGCAGCCTGGCCCAGTCGGTCATGTCCATGGCCTCCTCCCAGATCAGCACTGACACAGTCTCCTCCATGTCCGGCTCCTACATCGCGCCTGGCAACGAAGAGGAAGGAGAGGCTGTCCCCTCGCCGCAGGGTGCCAGCAGAGCCCCCTCAGAGGAAGACGAGGTAAGGGAAAGGCTCACACGCTGCCCTGCTCTCTGTGTTTCACTTGTATGCCCCAAGTAGCTTAATAAAGGGCCTTTCCAGAGTGGGGTGTTGAGGCTGGTCCCAGGGACCAGACTCCTGGCCTCTGCTGGCCTGGTGCAGACTGGGCTTGAGTTTGAGGCCATGCTTGACCCGAGAGCCTGTGGCAGCTGTGCGCTTAGCTTCTTTTCTCTTGCAGGGGACGCCGGCAGAGTCTCCAGATAGCAATTTCGCTGGCTTCCCGGCAGAGCAGGATGCAGAGGTAACCGGACAGCAGGCAGCACAGCGGCGCCGCTCCCACTGCAGGAGCTCCTGCCTTGGCCTGGGTGCCTTGGCCTGAGTGGGTAGGGGGTGGGGGAGGGGTCCCATGAGCGCAGCCCCACCCCTGGCCTGGACTCTATCCAGTGTCCATTACTAGGGGACACTAGTTCCAGCATGAGCTATGGTGGACTGAGTTCAAGAGGGGCCTTCCCATGCTAGGCCCTACTTGAGCCTGGAGAACGTGCTGGCCTTGGTGACCCGGGTGGAATAGGGTGACTGGGTCACAAGTGTTCACTGGCACCGGGACATGAACAAGACTGAGTGAAGAAGCTTCTGCCAGCCCCTATCCCAGCACCCCACCCAGGAGCCCCCAGCGAGGGCAAGCAGGGCTACAACTCAGCATGAGCTATACCATTTGCCGCCACACCCTCCCCCCCCCCCCCCCCCCCCCCCCCCAGCGCACCACCACACACACTTTTTAGGCCTTAGTTTTCTGGAGCCAAATCCTCTCAGGGTATGCTTTGGGAGCCTAAGGCATTTCCAAATGATTTATGATCTCATAATTTGCTATATATATTTTTTTTTGGTCAGTCATGGGGCTTGAACTCTGGGCCTGGGTGCAGTCACTGAGCTCTTCAGCTCAAGGTTAGGGCTCTACCATTTGAGCCACAGTGCCACTTCTGGTTTTCTGGTGGTTCATTGGAGATAAGAGTCTCACGGACGTTCCTGCCTGGGATGGCTTTGAACTATGATCCTCAGATCTCAGCCTCCTGAGTAGCTAGGATTACAGGTATGAGCCACCGGCACCTGGCTACAATTTGCTTTTTTATTTAACAACTTCTATTTCCATCTCAGAGAAAAGGACCAACTAAGCTGCTAACAAGGTTATCCCTGACATACTATGAGCATATGCCTGCAGTGTGGCTGCTCCCTCTGCTCTCAGCTCCCCCTGACCCTCTTAGGTGGGAAGTGCACTATGGACAGAGACCTAGGAGCTAGGCATCACCATACTGTCTTCAGCCAGTCATTCCGTGCCTCTGACTGCTGTAGACTCATAGGGCCTTTCTTTTGTCCTAGGGAAATGACGTCATAGAGGAAGAGGATGGATCTCCCATGCAAGAAGATGGTAAAAGACCCAGTCCTTTGTCCTCGTGTTGATTCTTGCCTGGGTATTCTCTAGGGGGCAAAGAAAGGGGAACCACTGTGACTGATGGCAGTGCTCAGCCGTGTGTCTGTTGGGGGAATGGTTGTCTTCTTGACGGTATGTCAACACAAGTAAGATCTTAGTGGCCTTAGTGACCTTCCCAGCTCCTCCCAGGACTCAGTTCAGGGAGCCAGGGTAAGGATGCTGCAGAGGACGCATGTGCAGTTGAAGACCCTGATGCTTCTTGGCCACTCCCACTGGCCTCCTGCTACAGCTGAGCCCAGGTAGGCTCCAGGAGCACCAGGCGGAGCAGCAGAAGCACAGTCTTCAGTGACATAGGCAGGAGTATTGGCAGCTTATCTGGGCTTGCTTTAGTGGGAAAATGTAGGGTGTATGATCTTAGAGGCAGCAGACACCCAAAGGGCGCTCAGCCTAGTCAAGGACCTGCAGGCTGTCATGGACTGCCTTACCATGACCCAGGCAGGCCTCCTTGATGTCTTCATTTGGAAGAGTTTGGCCCCCCAGGGCAATGAAAGAGGAGGCAGCCACAGCTCGGGGCCGTCCCCCTCTCTGCCCAGGGCACTCAGAGCACCGGAGTGCTGCGGCCTACATGCAGTCACGCCAGCAGATGTCATCCTAGTTGCTTCTGCTTTAGCACTGGCCATTGCTTTGGGGTGTCGGGGGTGTGCATGTGGACTGGTCAGCTCCTGCTAGGGGAGCCTGGAGGAGAGGCGTGCCGCCAGGCCGGCCCTCCCACTCCTGCACCCCTGCCAGGGCTTGAAGCTTCACCACCTCAGTGGATGATTTCAGGGCCCACGGCTCCAGATCATCCCCCACAGAGTACTTACTTCCAAGAAGTACGGGGCCAGCTTGTTTCCACCTGACCCTCGCAGCCCACACAAAGTGGCTTCTCTCCTTTCACCAAGGAGAAAGGGGGAGCTCAAAAAAAAATCATTCCTATAACTTCCCTTCCCCTCCTACCTGCCTGCGGGTTTCCAGGCAGCTACTCAATAGATTCAGTCTCAGTAAAGACAGTAAAACAAGCTAGGGGTTGGTGGCTTACAATTGTAATCCTAGCCACTTGTGAGGCTGAGATCTGAGGATCACGGTTCAAAGCCAGCCCTGGCAGAAACTCCGTGAGACTCTTAGGTCCAATTAAGCACCAAAAAAACTTAGAAGCGGAGCTATAGTTCAAGCAGTAGAGCACTAGCTGTGGGCAAAAAAGCTCAGGGACAACACCTAGGCCCTGGCACCAAAAGACAGTGAAACCTACGTTTGTGAATATGATCGTTCCAGTTTGATGTGTCAGATAGGGAAGTGAAGGTCTTTAGTTGTTGTTTGATGTGCGTATCAGTTTTCAGGGCCTTCTGGTCATAAACACATCACGCTGGAGGCACAGGTACCATGAGGGTACCATGAACCGGGGCCAGCCACACACAGCTTTGAGGCCCCGCCCAGCACGGCTTTCTCCGTAGTGCTCCCCTCCCTCAGCACTCTGCAGTGGCCACCCTTCCAGTGAATGGTGGCGAGCAGAGGCCTGAGTAAGGAGCTGGTCAGGATGGCGCCAGGACTCGGACATGCCCACACAATTCGATTCCTTTTTTTTTTTTTTTGTCTGCTCTTTACCCACTTAATTATTGTCTTTTTTTTTAAAACATATGATTTGATTTTTTTTTTGTCTCCATCCTTAAGATTTTTATTTTAAGGACAGCAAAGTAGAGGAAAAACCCAGCCAGCCCCTCTCTCTAACTGCATTAACTCCGTTTCAGGCCAGAGGACATGCGCATTTCTAGGTATGGAGTGTGACAATAACAATGACTTTGACATCGCAAGCGTGAAAGCACTGGACAATAAGCTGTGCTCTGAGGTCTGCTTACCTGGTGAGTGGCAGTCTACTGAACATGAACTTGGTGGGAGACACCCCTCTGCTCTTACCCCTGCTCTCCCCCTGGTGCACCCATCTCCCGCCCTGCAGTTCCTGCCAAGACGGCCTGGGGTGTGCTCAGGTGCTGGAGACCAGTTCGCTGAGAGGCAAATGAGGAGGCCTCAGGACAGTCCTTGAGCTTTTTACAAAGAGCAAGTCCTGCTCTGAGAATAATGGGGTAGGAAGAAAAGGGCAAAAATTCGTCTCCTTGCAATTTGGCCAGACCGTATGCCCTCCGTAGTCACCCTGCAGATGCCGTGTCAGGTGGCCTGTCTTGTTTTTCATGAGCAGACAAGCACCTCCCCCCATTCTCCCATCCTCCCCTCCCCCCAAGTCTTGGAACCATAGCCTGAGCCCATTAACAGTGAAACCATACTCCTCAGAGGATGGGTGCTTAGTGAGTATCAGAAAGGAATTTGAAAGGCAGCATTTTATAGGCCAGCGAATGGCTTTGTGAGCCAGTGAGCTTCAGGTTGCCAGATGCATTGCACATAATAGGTTCAGATGCCAAAGGAGAGGCCGGGGTCAGGGATGCCTGCTCCCCAGAGCCCCAGCTTTCAATTTGGCCCTATTCCCCTTCATGATACCAACCTGAATCCAGGATAATTAATTCCATGTTCAAGCAGCCATGCTACTCAGAACACTCTGAGCACATTCAAGGGCTCTAAGAACCACTTGTGAAAAGTCTTGCCCAACTAGACTGGGTCAAAAGTCCCCTCCCCCCTGGCTTCACCGCAGAGATTGTCTCCATGCTGTGCTCTTTGCAATCCTCCCAACATGGCGGCGTGAAGACCTGCTTCAGCTTCAGAACGGCCACTCCTGGGTCCAGTGCTTTACTCGCTGAGCGAAGTGGCTGGAGGTGTTGGAGCCACACGGCCGTCCGTGGTTGCCACTCTCCATCGGCCTGTGCCAGTCACGGTCCCAGCAGGCCCTGGTCACACGCCAGCCTGTGGCAGGGGAAGCCAAGAGACTCGTGGTCCCGCCTTTCCAAGGGCACCTCAGTCATTCTGCAGACTGTCCTGCGGATACTACCCGGGGCCTCGGTGAGGCGCAGGGGACAGTATCAGCTCACCTGCTTCCCCCGCCCTCGCCAGGGCGTCCCCCTTCCTGAGCATGGTGAAGGGACGCGCGCCCACTTGGCCACCGCCTGCCCAGTTCAGCCTGGACCAGAGCTGCTCGGGACCTCGGCTCAGCTCACTCCCTGCCTTCCCCATTTCCGACCTTGCTCTGTCTGTCCATTTGTGTTTCACGTCTTTTTGCCAAATGTAGCTCCTGTCTGTGTGGTTTTGGTTTGTTTTCGGTTTTGGTTTTGGTTTTTTGGTTTGTTTTTTTATTCGGCTCATTTCTGTTCTCTGACTAGTGTGAAAGTTCATGTTCACTCTGCGCCAGCACCGTCCTCCCTGCCTTGCTGGGCCCCACACCAAGCTGCTGGCGTGCGCACTTTGAGGGCTCTTGCTTAGGGCTGTAGGCAGGCTTTCAGGTCCTACCCAAAAGGGTCTGCTGCGTTCACTGCACCAAGAGCTTCCAAGGAAAAAATGCTTGCGAGGTTATACAAACATCTGTTCATCGAAAGTGGGCGTGCTTGAGAGACGAGGCTTGTGAGGGGGATTTGTTTGTAATTGGCCTCCTCGGTTGATAGTTGGGTTAGGATGGTGCCTAAGCCCAGCTCTGCCAGCAGCCTGTCCCCTCAAAGCCCAGCACAACCCTGATTTTGGCAGAGGAAACTGCTGGGAATGGTTTGAGCCAACGGGGCTGTGGAAATGAGCTTATTTGTTCTGCTTCCTCTTCTGACCTCCCTCCAGCCAAGCTGCTTGTATTTATTCCACTTCTGGAGGGGAGGGGGGAAGGGCTGAAAGCCCAGGAAAGAGGAAAAGCAGCCTTTAGGGCCTTTAGCGGGACTTCTAGAAGCAGCAATTCACTGTGTGGCCAGACGTGAAATCAGCGGCTGGTGGTACGGATCGGGGAGGAATTCCCTGTCTCCTCAGCAGAGTCTGGGGGCTCTCCCAGGGAAAATGCCTGTGGCAAAGCATCTCTTGGGTCAAAGACAGGAGATCACCTGGAACGTCCATGGACTATCAGGGCCTCTTCACACCCAGCCATAGGGCCAGACTGCCATCTCACTATGGGATCTGTAGGCTGTCACGGCTCCTCCAGCTTCTCTGGGTAGGACCCCTCCCTGGAGACTGCTCCTGGTACAAACGGTGCCCCTCGCGTGCACGCCTGCCCTTCATGAGGGCCATCAGGGAAGGGAATCCAGGGAGGCACCTTGCGCTGCTCTGTGCCCTGGGCTGGGCACACACCACTCCACCAAGTGACTCCCCAACTCGAGGGCTCAGAGGGCACCTGGGTCACCAGCTACTCCTCCTCTAAGAAGCTTCCAGGCTTTCTGGGGCCCCAAGACCCAGCATAGATTTCTGGTTCTTTATACTAGGGGATGGTATGTTCTGAGACAGATTCTGGAAGGATCTGGGTCGGGTGGTGTCTAAGCAGGCTGACATAGATCTACGTAGAATTAGAGTTGCAGGGGCTGGGAAGGTGGCTCAGTGGTAGAGTGCTGACCTTGGATGCATGAGGCCCTGGGTTTGATTCCTCAGCACCACATAAGCAGAAAAGGCCGGAAGTGGCGCTGTGGCTCAAGTGGTAGAGCGCTAGCCTTGAGCTGAAGAGCTGAGGGACAGCGCCCAGGCCCAGAGTTCCGGCCCCACAACAAACGGGAAAAAAAAAAGAATTAGAGTTGCAGGACCATGCTGCCAAGTCAGTGTGGTTCCAGCTGAGTGGAACGTGACACAGTGACAGGGAAGGGGCAAGTGATACTTCTGGGCTGGCACTTGTGAGAGGAGAAGGCACAAGAGGAATCTACATACAGCAGTGGGCCTGGTCAGTAAACCTAAAAGTACTGTGGAAGCCCTCACACGGGCCCACGCCTGTAATCCCAGCTAACTCAGGGAGGTGGAGATCCAGAGGATTGTACTCACTCCCAGGCAAAAAGTTAGAGATGCAGGAGACATGAATAGGAGGGTCACATTCCAGGCCCATCTGGGCAAGAAGATGCAAGGCCTTCCCAGAAAAATAACTATAGCAAAAGGGATTGCCAGGGTAGCTCAAGTTCATAGAGCATGAGACCCCGAGTTCAGTCTCTCATACCACCAAAAACTAAAATTAAAGATAAAAAAAATATTTGTGGCTGGGCACTGGTGGTTCATGCTTGTAATCCTAGCTACTCAGGAGGCTGAGATCTGAGGGTCGAGGTTCAAAGCCAGCCTAGAAGGAAAGTCTGTGAGACTTAGCCCCAATTAACTATTAGAAAACTGGAAGTGGCACTGTGGCTCAAAGTAGAAAGGCGCTAGCCTTAAGCAAAAAGCTCAGGAACAGAGCCCAGACCCTGAATTCAAGTCCCAGAAATGACAAAAATAATTTGTGGAGACCTGACATTGTCTACTCTTCCCTTCAAGCCTCATAACAAGGCTAAAAATACCTGTTGAAAATCACGTTGTACTTCATGCATTCCAAGGGAATAGGAGTCAAGCTTCTCTTTTCTCCAGACAGAAACTGCAAATACAATGGGACCATCATAATGCTGAAGTTCAATCAGTGCTTGGTAGAGGCAGGAAGGGGGTGTGCCGCATCTCCCTAACGAGCTCCCCAGTCTGCCTGTCAGCGTCTCATTCTCTTTTCTAGCTCTCCTAAAGGGAACTGAAGGAATGTCCCCTTATTTCCCTGTAGCAATTTCAGGTTTCCCCTGTTCCGTTTTCTGGCTACAGGGCCTGGCTGCCACCTGGTAGAGTGGCACAACACTGGGGACGTCCTCAGCACCCAGACGTGCCCAGCCACAAGGCGCCCTGTGGGCCCAGCGAGGAGGGGCCGCAGTCGGGGTGCTGCAGGCCCTTTCCGGCCATCCAGGCCAAAAGGCTCTGCACTCTGCCAGCCTCCCCTCCCTAGACTGCCCATCTGAGTCTGTTCTACAGGAGCTAATGGGCATCCTGGCCAAGGCTCCCAGGTGGCAGAGTCCGTACGAGGATACCTGTGCATTTGGTCAGGATGGCCCTCCCGGGCACCTTCTCCCACGCAGGCGCAGTGGCAGTGGTTGTAGTGATGTGGCTGCTGCTGTTTTTTGTGTGTGCGTGCATGTGTGTCTTATCTCTTGTTTACCATTTGCTTTTGGTCTTTCCTACTAAACAGCCGCAGCTCCGGAGTCCTGCCCCATAAACATTGAGGAATAGGTATGACATCTACCAAATTATATAAATGAACAAACAATCTACTTTATTTGGGGTTCCAAACTCAACCACCTGATAATGCCCCACCCCGACACTGCCCGGAGCGCCACCCTCAGAGGGAAGGACGTTTGGACTCGGGTCCTCAGGGTCCGGAGCCCGCAGGCAGTCTGTGAGCTCTGGCCACATTCTATTACAGCCTCAGGATGGATTTTCACTAAGGGCATTTATGGGGAACCAGCCCGCAATCCTGCTTCATCCTGGTGATTTGCCACTTACAGAGCTGTGTGTCTTGGACTGGCCAGACCCAAGGCTGACCTGGCCTCTGGACCATGCTCAGTCATACCTCCCCATGGGCACCAGGTGCCATGGTGTATATGCCCACCCCCACCCCCCAGGGGGGACTGGTGTCTGATAGGTGTGTGAAAGGCCACAGCTTCCTCAGTGCAGGTGAACGGAGTGGGGTCCAAGCTGCTAGGGAGCAACTAGGAGGCGCCTTGTGAAAGGCGGCCCAAGCCCACAGCAGAGCCAGGCTTCTTCAGGGGTAGAGGCCAGAACCCTGCCTTTCATCACCAATGGACCACTCTAGCTTCCCTGGAGAGAATGATTATGGAGCCACCTGCTGGCTGGAGGACAATCAAAGGGAGACCCTGGGGAGACAGGGAGGCCTGAACAAATTCTGGAAGACAGGACTCTGCTCAGCACACTATATGATCCTGGGAGAGAGGGGGGCGTCCCCATCAAAGGGATGCCCGAGTGCCCAGCGTGCTGTAAACCAGGCGTGAGGCCCTGGTCGGTGTAGATAACGGGAATGGGACATGCTGGCAGACGTGGCGTAGAGGTGTGCTGGGAGTGGGTTTCCAGGCCTGGCAGGTTTCCAGGACAGCAAGATGAATATAGTCGGTGACACAGGGGACCCCAGGCACTGAAGTTCAATCAGTGCTAGTGTCTCCTGTGGGGACAGCACCGGCAATGCAGTCACATGGGGGAGGGAAGCTGAGTCGCACCCAGACTGTCTGACCCCTGGACCCTGCTGGTTGGCTAGCCCCTTCCTGCCTGTCCTCAGCCAGCACCCCCCGCGCCCAGCCAACACATGCACCTTCTCACTCCTCCCCACTTCCCCCTGCTCTGCAAGACGCAGCTCAGAGAGGCCACTGCCTTGTCCTCGTCCACGGAACAGGTGAACTCCAGACCCAAATAATTTACACACCCCAGTGGATCCTAGGGTACGTTCCCGAACAGGGAGCACCTGGCACGTGCCACAGTGATGCTTCCGCGGCCCTGCATATGTCGGTGCCCCTTTCTCCTGTTCTTCCTTACTGTAGCTTGCACACGCAGGAGTTTCAGGTCCCAAACATCCTGCTAGCTTCTGCTGAGCTGCTCTGCCCTGTGGGAGACGCTGTGTGGATTTGCCCTGCGGCCTGGCTCTTGTAACCTTCATTTTGTTTTCTCCAGGTACCTGGCAGGCTGACAATGTTGTCAGCCACCGGAACAGCCAGCGCCGGCGCTTATCATCCAGCAGCCTGGAGGACCCCGAGGAGAACAGGCCCTGTGCGTGGGGTCCGCTGGCTGTCTGAGAACACCCACCCCTGTATCTAGGCCCCTCCTGTGTGCATTCCATCCATCCTCACTGGACCACTGGCCTCCTGGGCGTCCTCCACGAGATGTGCACACTTCAAGAGAAGCTGGACACGGAATCAGCCCACTCTTCTTTCCTATACCTGCTTTCCTATACCTGACCCCCCCACCCTCTCAGAAGAGACCAGAAGCTCTCCTTTCTCCTGTGGGCTCACACCCATGAGACCCTTCGCAGAGACTGGCATATGCCCGTTGATCTGCTCAGCAGGTGGAGCTGGGGATGCCCCTCTTCTCCTGAGACCAAGCAGCAAGAGTTTGGGCAGCTTCGTTACAGACACCCATCTCTGGCAGTTTCTGGTCTCTGCGCCTCGTAATCACTTCAGAACCGTGGTGTGGGTGTGGGGAAGGCCCCTATGAGAAGGGAGGGCCAGCTTGCGCTCTGTGGACTTGCCCCCTCCTGGGGCACCCAGAGCTGCTTTCTGAAGGGCAGGGAGACGAGGCAACCCAGGTATGAGTTGGCAGTCAGCTCTTCCTTGTGGTCGTGGGGCTGGGCTCCTGTGTTCCTGTGCCTGTCTGAGACCCCAGGTAGGAGCACTTACCCCCTCCCCCCGCCCAAGGCCTCATCAGGAGCGGTCAGGAAGGCACCACTGCAAGAAGCTCATTTCTGGAACACCTCTCCGTGTATATCCAGGGGCAGGGAGCAGGGGGTCTTTAATACTACCGCCCTCATCTCCACCTTTTTTTTTTTTCTTAAATAACTGAAGAAATAGGCTAAGGAAACTATAGACTAGTGCCACTCAAAAGTGGTGTTCAAGCTGGCGCCGGTGGCTCACACCTGACATCCTAGCCACTCAGGAGGCTGAGATCTGAGGATCACAGTTCAAAGCCAGCCCAGACAGGAAAGTCCGTAAGACTCCAGTAAAACGCCAGAAAACCAGAAGAGGCGCTGTATATCTCACCTTTAGCTGAAGAGCTGAGGGACAGCGCTCAGGCCCAGAGTAAAAGCCCCACCACCGACAAAAAAAAAATGTTCAGGGTCACCAAAGACCATGGTGCAGAGCCCCAGGCCAGAAGCAGTGGCCTGGAAGCCAGAGGGAGGACTGGGGTCAGAGCCTTCCCGTGGAGGTCCCTCCACCGCTTTGAGGTATTCCCAGCCTTCCAGATCTCCTGAGTGTGACAGGCAAGGGGCAGGTAGAGGCGATTTAGGGATGCTCAGTTGGCTACCAAACCACGCCTGTCATCAGCAGGGCTGGCCTGGAAGTTGTTGGGTGTCCCACCTTTCTCACGTCAAGGTATTCCTCCTGACTTCTGGCTTCTGAAAAATGTGCTTATTTAGTGGGACATGTGGTAGCCTGGAAAATAGAACCAGAAGTGATTACTGTTAGAAGCGGAAGGGCCTCGGGCTGTGCCTGCAATGTGTTAGGATTGACAGTTGTTGCCTACCTAGGTGAGCTTTCCAAAAAAAAGGAGCTGTGGCTCTTTCTTTTTGGTGTAGCGGCAGAGGCCCAGGAGTTCGGTGATTGTCACACTGCCTAGTGATTGGGGCACATGGCCTGCCCTTCTAGAGAGGGGCCTCTGTCCTGCCTGGTGAGCTTGAGTTCCCATGTCATGTCCACCCTCTCCGAGAACCACAGGGAGCCCCGCCCCCACCAGGACGTCCTTTCCTTCCTGCGACATTCTCAGACCCTTTTGATATTCCAGGTTTGAACCAGTATAAGTTGAGCAATAACCCTACTTCCTAACTTCCTTGCAGTATGACCCTAGAAGCAGCAGGCAACAGGGAGGGTCCCTCCTCCTGGGTGGTGGCTCACAGGCCCACCCCCTCACCCAGCAGGCAGGCAGTGTTCACGGTGTGGTGTGATCCACAGCCAAGGTGCAGGAGACTCAGGTAAACAGCAGGAACTCTCAAGACGAAGCCATTATCGCCAGCCCTCCCTCACAAGCCAGTGCGCCATAACCCTCCTAGGTGGGCCTCGGCTCCGTGGCCAAGACACACCTAGGGTAGTCAGCGTGCCCTTTATACTGCCTTGTCCAATTCCTGCTCCCCTTCTCATTTAGCTCATGGTAAGCAGAAACAGCCCATCCCCCCGAATGGGCCTCCGTCAGCCTGACCAGGAACAGGACAACCTTCACGCCTGCCCTGGTCTGTTATAGAGGCATTCATGTTGAATTTGCCCAGGGAGGCTGACGGAGGCCTGTCTGAGACCACACAGCCTGGCCCCGGGGTGCTCTTGCTCTCTTAGTGGTCTTGATTCCCTCGAAGAATCTTCTTGCCTTCTACCCCGTTCTATCCCACCAGAGTATATGCTCCCCCCCAAGGGGCACCTCCCAGGCACAGACCCAAACACTAAGCTGGCTTTCTGGAAGCGAGGTCCTGCCCACCTGGTGTTGGCATGCCGTCACTCATTTTGCTTAGGAGCTGCGTACCTGGTGTGTGCGCGTGCGCGCTGCGTGCGCCGCCCGCCCGGAGGACGCGCACGCGCACTGCAGTGGGGACGTTGAGGATGCAATATTTATGGATTGCTGCATGATTCTTAAAAATGAATAAAACTGTTTACATGGGAAGGAGAGGTGTGAACCCCACGGTGGATTCGTGTGTGGCCTTCCTGCCTCCACTTCCTGACCTGCCTGCAGCCTCAGCTCCAGCTCTGGCCCCGGCAGCTTAAACCGGAGACCTTCCCCTCGGCCACTGGAAAAATGACGGGGAGGGGGAGGGGGAGAGAACAGCCCTACAGAAGCTTCTGGAATGCCAGCTTCCAGGAGCTTGGCGGCACAGGGAGGGAGAGAGCCGCTTACCGGGAGGCGCTGGGGCGCCCTGCCCGGCGCGGGGTGCGAGCCGCGGGTCGGGCTCTGCGGGTGTGAGCGGCAGGTGGCATCGGAGAGTCAGACCTGCCACCGGC